GTGTGTGTGTGTGTGTGTGTGTGTGTGTGTGTGGTGTGTGTGTTTAACTTGGAATATATAATTCATGCTTAGGTACAATTACGGTTACATTTAATTGGAAACTCTATCATTTAAACATGTGTCTTCTAATCGTCCTGAAGTCATCATAAATAAAATGCAACCAATTGCATTTAGGATAAACTAAAAGAAATTTAAACACAGCACATACAACAACAGCGTTAATGACAATTGCTTTACAATAGCAAAATATCTGACCATAAATCTAAAAAAAATCTATTTTCTTTGACTGTGAGTGCGTTTTTAAATACAATGTGGGAGTGTGGATGTTTGTATACAGATGTTCTGGACTCTGTCTGCGCTAGCATATTAAGTAAGTTAAGTAAGCAACTTCCCAATTACGACCGGCCTTCTGTAACTCCTAAAATTCTAATTTCAAAGGATAATGAACTAATATGTATGTAAACAGTAACAATACCTTGATAATTAACATTAATTTGGCACAACCTCAGAAGCCCCTTCCCCTCAGTCTAAATGGCGTTACATTATTCTACAGATCGTTCATTGCTATATCCTGCTGTGGGCCCACACGGTTTCTGCTACAGCACGCGTTGTACAAGCAAGAGGCAACGGACCTCGCCATCTCAACTACGACTTTACGGAAGGATTGTTGGCACACATTGTACACGACAAGGTCCAGAAATGTGTTAGACAACGCTATCCAGCTGGACCAAAACAGGGCGGTTGGCAGAACATGCCCCAGCCAACTGGCGATTAAAACACCCAAGGTCGGAAGGGGCAAGGTTGTTTGTACTAGAGTTAAGATCAACACAACCTTAGCGTAAGAGTTATCATTAAAGTGGTTTGGGGCTACTGGCGGCTGCTGAGGGTTAGGGTTCTGTACGTTAATGTAATTATGTGCTGCAGCAGGCAACTCTGGTGGAGAACACACTGCTTTTAATATCCAGACAACGCAATACATTGTCACTATACACCCACTGCACCCTATGGCAACTGTCACCGCGGTAAACCATATATAGGCCTTGAGATCATATATCGTCACCGCTATGACTCGATCGTAATATACGGGAACCCCATAGACTACAGAAAAAATATTAAAAGCGAATATCCCAACCCAGTCTGAGATCAGGAAGATGCAGGCTTTCTTGCTAGGCATTCCCTCTCCGCCGTTCATCAGGGCATAGTATCGGTCAAGGTTCAGACCTATAGAAAAAAAATCTTATTTTATCACTTGTAGCGCAATCAAAAGACATTCTATGGTGTGTAATTTAAAAGTACCAATTTTTCTAAGTCAAAATGCACTCTTAAAATGACAAACATAGAGATAACGAACCGCTGGGGGATTATTACATGTATATAAGGAAATGCATCATTTTAACCATATTTGTACGATGTACAGGACGTTCAAAGTGATATTTACCTCCGGGGGAGGAGATATTTTTCCGCGAAAGGGTATTAGACCGTTTTAATTTTTTTTTTTTTTGTTCTTAGCTGTTTTTCGCGTTGCGGCTAACGGATTGTTTTAGGACTCGGTATATGTTTTGCTATTGGGCTGTAGATTATGCACGTTTTTTTAGCTTTTATTGTATATGGTTGTGTTTTCGAGCGTAAGAATTAAGACTTTTGTGGACCCTCTTGCACCCCTTTGACCCTGAAAATGGCCGCGACCGTTGACCTTTGGTGTGTTGAAGGTATTATCGGTCTCGTCCACTTGTATGACCTTTCGCACAGAGGGGTGTCCGGTCTCGATACATTCTTTGTTTAAAAATATGCGCCAAAATGCTGCTTTCAAGGGCTGCATAGCCAGATCCAGTGAAAATATGCACAATTAAAAGAACCTTTGGTGAAAATGTATAATTCTTTATGGTGTTTTTTTTAGTTGGATCGAACCCGGAAGTGTTAATACGGGTTTCTGGTAAAGGTTAGCCCTTTATAATAGCCTCCGGCTAGTTGGGCAGTCCTGGCTGCATACATATGTGTTGTCAGCCTAATAAATCAAATCAAATCAAATCAAAGGTAGCGAGTCACACGTATGGAAATGAGTATTATGCGCCCTTTTGGGTATATTACTACAGCTTCCTGTAAACCCTTGTACTACTTGTACTATTTGACGTCCTATAAGCAGAAAGCTTCTGTATGTGACATTTCGGACCCCAGTCACTATATTTTCGATCAAAATATTTGTGGATACGCACCATGTGCCCGCGTTTTGCTTCCTCAGGAATGTATGTCGTAACACTGATTACCGGTTATTTTTAACGTCTGATTTAACGGTTCTGGTTGTCATTCTGAGTTTCATTACGAATTCCTTGCGGCAGATTAAATAGAATTTCATAAGTTCTTGGGTACATGTTATAAGCTACAGATGAAAATGTGTTAACACAACCTGGAAATCTAACACATAAAATTTGACACCATCAACTATTCATATCAAACAACATATAAGAATATACAATAAAAAGCCCGGAGGTATAAAATCTCAGATTTTACTTGTTGATAATTTTTTTAGTTGGTTATGAATGATTGAATGATGAGTGAGCTTAACAACATTAGTTACAGTTATAGTAAAACAACCCGTGATATTTATTTATTAAGTTCATCTGTGTTGTTAGTATAAATACTATATAGAACCCGTGTATCCAGTCTCCAAGCTGATAGACACCTTACACACGCAATCGTGTTGTTAGTTACATGACTTAAAGTTTAAGGTAAAACCTTTGTTACAGCACAAATTTTAGAACGTTTCTCTTTTTTATTAGAAGAAACATTTTTTACACGTAAAAAAGAATATGTTACCTGCTAGTGCAGAGTACGTTATCAGCGCGGAGGAAACCCCGATGACCGCGGTGGTCCGGAGGACTGTGCCGGAGTAATTCCACTCTCCGGCCGCGGCTGGAGCTACCATGAACGGGAAGGTTAAGCCGTCCAACAGGTCCGAAAAGGCCATAGAGGAGATGAAAAGTCGACTTGAAGAGGGGAACGTCTGTCGTCTGGTGGTAACTGCGATGACGAGAATGTTCCCGACGATGGCCAGAACGGCTACGGTGACGATGAAGGCCGGCTCGGCAGGGAGGGACTCCGGTGAGGGCGTCGGGGTGGATGCGTTAGTCACAAAGGATTCGTTTGAGAAATTCATATTACTGCGTTTGTTATTGCTGTAGATTATGATGGATTAAATTGTTTTTCAGTACGACCAAGAAATACGACGAATGGTGTGCCAGCACGTCGAAAGAAATGCTTGAGCTGGAAAGGGAATTCGAACTGAGCGATTATGAAGAGCAGAGCTGATCAGGCGCAACGGTTGAAAATGTGATTTAATGACGTCAGCTCCGTTGCTAGGATTCATGAGGAGCGACAGAATATGAATGAATAGATTCTCGCTACACTGCAGCTCATTATATTTAATAACAGGGCAGCTTCTTTGAATGAAAGAAATGTTTCTTTGTCTTTGCCTCTTCGTCTTCTCATCTTCTTTTAATGGGCTTCCTGCTTTTTGAGATGATTTTCTTGGCATGAAATAGATCTGGATACTGCCTGACCAGTCCGATACGGTTTTTGATATAGTCTTGTTGCCACCTAATGGTATTATTGAAGTTTAATTGTTTACACCATTCAGTAAACGAAACGGGCATGTTCTTTCTTCATATTCGAGGATGAAAAGTTACATTTTTCGACTCAGGTTTTGGCCTTCAGTCTGTTTGAGTGCACTAGGATTTTTGCACTTGCGTAAAACTAAACTTAAAAACGAGGCTCTAATAACGCCTTACATTGTGGACTGATGTTAAAAGAAATTTTACTTAAAATTCAATGACAAATTTGACTCCGTCATACGTGTTAGTCTCGTTTCAGTGCAATTGCGTTCATTGTGCAGCAATAGATTTTCCTGGTCTAATAAACGAAGGCAACTACCATTCATTCATTCAATCCACCTTACTACGGGCTAGAGCCCAGATCTTTCTAGCATTCCACAGCTTAGGTGACGATTGGAACTAGCCTCTACCAGGCTACCTAGATGCAATCTTCCGAACCATAGTTTTAAGTCGAAAAAAAATTTAATAGCAACGTATTTATAATTTCCCCGTCTTTTACAGATATGTTGACGATAACAAAAAACACAAGGTCATTGTCACAACGCATATGCATCATACGAATATAATGGTTATAAACAGAGTATTTTAGACATAAAAGAAAGCAGCTAACACTAACACCCAAAAATACACACACACAGACCTTCATGCTGAGACTCAAATACAAAATGGCCCACACATATCACCAGTCACAAACACCGAAGTGGCCAGTGACACAAGCGCTAAACATAATAAGCTTTTGCTACACAATACATGCGACTATTGTTTACGTCAAACAAAGAAAATGTCATACGATCATCCTGACCCCTGACCTCAGTTTGGATTCCCTTGGCGTCAACCCTTTTAACCTTGAAGAACCAGCTTCCAATATGGCGTCTGAAATAGACCTGCTAAAGTCAAACAGGCATAAACTTGTGGAAAAGATTCTATACGTCAAACCTTTCCTAGACATCCTACTACAGCATGGTGAGATAGTTAAGGAAGAATACGACAACATTGCAGCGGAGAAAACTCCACAGGACCGGGTCAGAGCTTTGCTTGACGTAGTTGAGGCGAAGGGCCTGGGGGCTTTCCACCATTTTCGTGAGCATTTAAAGAAGGTCAACCCGGAACTCGGAGAGGAACTGCAGATTCCCTGTAATCCCGAAGTGTGTACAGGTTATGGGTAAGTATATAAACTTTGAGACTACGCTGATTTCTTGATCATTGTACATTTTGCAGGATCCTATTATAGTAAACACTCTCTTGGTAACCTGATCGAATCATGTATTGTTCCTTCTTACATCAACACTTTAACATGCCTTGACGCCGTTAAATATATAAAATACTTATGACATCAAGTTAAAACATAGCCCTACAAAATTTAAGATGGAAAAAACATTAAGAAGTCACATTTACGGAACTAATGTCAGTTATATTACCACGATACCACATGGTATGGGTGTAAATTACGTATCCGAACAAACATGACGTTGCAAAATCCTAGGGCGAAAGGCGAGTATAAGATTACCAGAGTTTTTGAGGCATTGTTTAAACGTTTACTTGACCTTTGTACATTTCTTTGTTAAAAGCACAAAGTAAGTTCAAGCACAATGCGCGTCTAAAAGAACATTATTGTGGAAAATGTAAGAGCTTAGATTGCCATACAAAACAGCAAGCACTGGCAAAATGCAAGTAGAAGAAATATATGTTTGTATTGCTTTTGTGTATGTGACTACTATGCATGTGCCTATCCTTTTGCGTGTTTGTTTGTTAGTGTTTACGTATGCATGTATGCATAATTTGTTTAAAACTAAATTACGGTTTTGTGTCGTTCGGTATTGGTGTAGATTTCTGGAAGAAGAGTTCGACGTCCTTAGACGGGATTTCGTGGCCTTTAAGAGGGAGAACAGACAGCTTTTGAAGAAGCATACGAAACAACCAGACGACATTGACATCGACACCATACGAAGACAGGCATGCGACAAGGCGAGGGCTCTTAAGGAGAAATTCTGCTCAATGGTAGAAGAAGAATGTTGTCTGTTCTTAGGCCAGCTCGACGTCACGCAAACTACGAGTCAAAGTATGTCCAGTGACTCGGAGAGCGAATTCGAGTCTGCGACAACCAAAATCACCGATCGTTCGGATTTCTTTTCGGCCGCACCAGGAGACGAAGAGGATGAAGCAGGCGGTAAAAAAGATGAGATTTGGACTACTTTGTATGATCGGTGTGACGATGTCCATCGGATAATGAAAGAACAAAAAAGACCGCGACTTGTGACCTTACCAGGAACGTCCGGCCTGCTGAAACCGCCACCAAAGCTGGACTAGCTTTACTCCGTCGTTACTAAAAAAAAAGATTGGGAAGAAATTCAAACACAAAAAGCCTTCACAACAATACTCAACAGCAACAGCTAAGCGTGTATTTATATATAAACACGTAAAATTTAAAAAAAAAAATTGCACTTTCTATATTATGATGATGTTGATCTACTGATGATGACCAATCTTAGATCTTTATGAAATGCAGTTTACAATCTTAATCTTGCCCGGGCATGGATAAACACGATAAAATACACCAGCAACAGCAATCAAGAGAAACATACATGTATAATATTGCTTTCTAAACCTGTTTTTGAAAAGATGTTGGCTAGAACAATAGATTTTGCTATAATTGGCCTGAAATGTAAAACAAGTTCGAAATTCGATTTATTATTAAAAAATGATGTAATAAATTGAATAATAAATGTCTTGTTTGTTAGAAAGTAGAATTCATGTAAGGGGAAACATATCTCCATATTAGGCGAATTGTTAATATCATGAAGACATGTAATAAAAGGTACAGCAGATATTACATTTTGTATTCATGCATTCTGACATACGTTTTTAAAGCTATGAGTCAGATTTGTACTTATATTTAAAATACTTAAATTATTTAATATTATTTTGTAAATCCTAAAAAGTAAATAAAAACAATGTAGCCGCCATTATGACATTTTTTTGAAATAGAACTATTTGTTGCTATCATTGTATCCATATATATGAGATATAAGGTATTTTTGTTGAAGAGATTCAGCATCAGTTAAGGTATTTTTTAGCTATTCCATTCCCCATTGATCGCATGATGGTGTAGCAATACATATGCACTTGAGAGGCTTGGTACAAAAAGGTCTTGCTGTGTTGAAATAAAAAAAAAAGACAACCAAAAAGGTAACATTTTCAAATGCATAATGTCTACCTTCACATACAAATGTATGGTCTGTGCTGTTAATTCTTACTCAAAGACATTCATATATATGGTCAGGCAGGAATATAAATCCCTTCTACTATAAAATTACAACATTATGTAACCCAACACCATTTACCATGGTGAGAGACGTCAACAAATCAGGTCATTGGTCAGGTCAGAGGTCAGTCTTTGGAACAGAAGAAGAAGGAGAAGAAACGTAGCAACAACAATATGTTTCCTTTGGTAAATATAATTATATTAACTGTTGATGCCATCAGTTTCTTTAATATTTCTCTAAATAGGCAGGAGCTAATTGGCAGATGTAAGGCTTTTGTTCGGTGCATCCAGCGTCGTCCCACATGGGATCAGGGGTCTGTCCTGAGTACCAGTACTGAACACACAGTGAATTCCAGGACTCTTTAATGTTGCGTGGCTCGCCTGGATGCCATCCCTAAAGGAAAGGATCAAAGTAAGGCACAATTCATTGTACGATAATATTACAATATCTAGCTTACTAAAGAAAAGTAGTGTTTTAAACAGAAAGAATTTTGGCAGACATTAAATTCCACTGCAGTGCCACAAGAAGACGTGGAGGGGGATCAAATTAAATGATGTTTCCGCAAGGACAATCCATAGGTTCTAGAATCATCGTGCTTGACCAGTAAAACACACACATGGACACAAATGCTACATAATGATATACTTTTGGTACAAATTAGTTACTACGTAAGACCTATATCCCTTAAAAATCACGACCATAGCATACCCATGTGCACTTAATCGTACTCAGTTGCTAGATCACCAGTGATTGACCTTGATTTTTATTGTTCAAGCCAAACGTACCTACTAAATACCATATAGGGATACATCCTACGCAAGTTAAAAACTGGCAACCCACAAACATAAAGTACATGAACCTAACACATAACCCTCTGGATGAAGGTAATAACAATTATATATACAGTATGACCAGTAATCAACCATTGTTCTTGTCTACAAAATCAACAGAACACTTACCTGGTACTTTCCCAAGGGTAACCCGTCCACCCAATGATATTCGCTTCTTCCGAGGCAGCTAGTACACGTCTCCCTCATACCGATCCAGTGAACGGAGTTCCCTCCAGACATTTTGACCAGGCGTCTGAGAGCGAGGTCAAACTCTTTTGTTTTAGGCATGGCCAGAGTCGCCCCTTCCGCCACGCAGGCCTGCGATGCGTCCCAAAAAGACTTTTGAGCGGGAGCGAGGCGGATGCAAGTGGACCCAAGCCGTCTGTAGCCATCCTGGCAGCCGCCATTTCGCATGTTCAGGGCAACTGAATAAGTAAAGAATAGGAAACTGTA